CGCCCGCCGCCGCGCTTCGGTCTCCCCTCGCCCGTCGCCGCGTCTCGCCTCCTCTCGCAGCCCTTAGTTCCCCGCCCCCACTGCCTGAACCCCGAGACCCCGACCCAGTCAAGATGTCCGAGGCGGCAGGAAACCTCAATAGCCTTCGCATGGCGAACGTAGCCTTGCGGGAAGAGTTAAATGCCCTTCGCGGGGAGAATGCCAGTTTGGGCCTTCAGCTTGGGAGAGCCCTGGCCGAGGTCAATTCCTTGAGGGGCAATGTCGCGACCTACATCCGCTGGCCGGTGCCCATAGTGCCCGTACTGGCCGAGGAGAACTTTGAGTTCCCGCTCAATGAGAGCGACTCCGTGCCCGAGGCGGGAGAGGTGCCCTTCCTGTGCTGGCCTCCCCCGCGCACCGATTCCGAGTACGTCTCGAACGATCTTTTGATTAACGTGGTCCAGGACTACATCACCCCCGAGGGGTCCGCGGAGCCGCCCCTGCCCGCCAGCCCGCCCCCGCAGGAGCTGCCCTCGCCGGCGCCGAAGGAGCCGCCCCCACAGCCCCTTCTGCCACCCCTGGAGCGGCCCGACATAGAGCCCTTTTCAGGCAACCCAGTCTACCTGGCCGAATTCCTGATGCAGCTAGAGACCTTCATAGCTGACCATGAGGATCATTTCCCCGGGGGCGCCGAGCGGGTGGCCTTTGTGATCTCCTTTTTCACTGGAGAAGCTAGGGACTGGGCCATCTCAGTCACCCAGGAAGGAAGCTCCCTGCATGCCAACTTCCCGCGCTTCCTGGATGAAATCCGTAAGGAATTTGGTGGCCTCATCCCCCCACGCGTGGCTAAAAGGGCCATACGCAAGCTCAAGCAGGGAGATTGTACCGTGAACAGCTACGCTGATGCTTTTCAGTACCTGGCGCAATTCTTGTCTTGGGATGACTGCCGCCTCCAAAACCAGTTTGTCAAAGGCCTGTCGGAATTCTTCCAAAAGGAGCTCTTATGGTCAGCTGAAATGGCCGACCTGGATGAGCTGATTCTTGAGTGTGTGGAGATAGAAAGAAAAGTGCGTGTTCCCAAGCCAGTCCTGCTCCCTGAGGTTCATGATGTCGTTTTCCCTTTTGATCCAAATGCTAATGAGGATGAAATTGGGGGTGAAGAGCGCTACAGTGAGGATGAGGACGGAGAGGCATGTAGGAGTGGGCTTTACCTGAACGACGAGCCCAAGCACATGAGGGTTTTCCAGCAGATGGAGGAGGAGGAGGAGGAAGAGGAGGAGGAGGAAGAGGGAGAGGAGGAGGAAGAGGAGGAGGAGGAGGAGGAAGAGGAAGAGGACGAAGAGATGAGGAAGGAGGAGGAAGAGATGAAGGAGGAGGAGGACGAAGAGGAGGAGGAGGACTATGATTTTGAGGATGAGGAGGACCAGGAGGATGAGGAGGACGAGGAGGATGAGGAGGATGAGGAAGATGAAGAAGAGGAGGAAAAGGAGGATGAGGAGGAGGATGAGGAGGAGGATGAGGACGAGGACGAGGACGAGGAGGATGAGGAAGATGAGGAGGACGAGGAGGACGAGGAGGACGAGGAGGACGAGGAGGATGAGGAGGATGAGGAGGATGAGGAGGATGAGGAGGATGAGGAGGATGAGGAGGACGAGGAGGAGATGAAACCAAAAGCGAAGGAAAAGAAGAAAATTGGTGGTGATGGGAGTAAGGGTGAGGAAGACGTGATTGAGGTTGACAGCCAGGATCCAGAGCAGGACCTGGAAGAGGGGCCAGAGAGGTTGCTGACCTATAGTGATCTGGAGGCCCACCTTCTAGCTCACCATCTTCATCATCATCATCACCAACACCATGAGCAGCTGCAGCAGCTGATGCAGATGGAGATGACGGAGGAGCCTGTCCTTGTTGACACTTCAACCCAAACCATTAGCTCTGCAATATACCATGCTGAGAATTTCCTGGATGAATCTCCTCCTATCCAGCCTAGACGCAGGAACCAGAATCGCATTCCCCTTCTGGAGGGCCTTCCAGGTACCAATTCGCCTTTCTACAGCTCGCCACCACTGATTCGTCGTGCAAGTCGCATGGGGCAACGCCAAATTCGAAGACGTCCCCCTGTGCTCTTCCGCCTCACTCCGAGACAGGTGGGCCACCGAGCTTCTCGTGGCCGAATCCGAGTGTGAGTGCTGGGGCCACCCAGAACACACCCTTCTACTGCGTCCCCTGTCCCCGCTATTGCTGCCACACGTGCCCCATCTACTGACCAGTTCTTAAAGGTGTTCCAGATCTGTACAACCCGAAGAAGACTTGCAGAATTGCAGAGCGTCTTGCAACCTGACCAGAGAGTGACATGTGCCCAACCAAGGCCACCTGGGAAAGGAAGGACAACAGTAGTTGTCCTGTCGTGCATACTCTGCTCGGTACCGCCACAAGCTGAAGAGCAGATTTCTGTCCCCATAAGTGAACTGGTCACCCTTTTGTATTCCTCTCTAGTTTTCCCCAGCCCTCACTCTGCTGTGTTTCTTCGCCCTGTGTTCTACAGTTTTATCCTCTGACTGGCTCACCGGGACTTCACCCAATGCCTCACTGATCTGCCCCAGTGATTAAAAGGACAGGCTACACTGAACTCCTAAAGGTACTGAGGTCATTTGCTAGGTGAAACTGACAGCGAGCAGGATGGCACCAAGAAAATGCTTATTTCATGCCATATTCCAGCGAAAGGGCCTGCAAGAGGACCCCACACTTAGCCCAGTGGACAACTTGACTGAAACTTATTCTTGACGGACTGGCAAACCCAGTCCATTCCCAGCACCTGAGTTTACCTTCCTCCAGACTTCTGTGGCAGGGCCCTTGGACCAGCTTGGCCAAACCTGGGGCTCTCTCCTCTTTCTACACAGGCCTGCTGACTGTCCCTGCGGCAGAGTTCAACGTGTTAGCCTCCACCCCTTGCCTTGATTTTGCCTAAAGGTAGAATCAGCTGGGGGTTGGGAATAGGAAGTGGAAGAGATCACACAACTCAGTTTGGCATTCTAAGAGTGGCTTTCTCCTTAGGGATGGAGGTCTGCCCCATCGCCAGGCCTCAGACTACAGCCCCCAGCCAGAGGTCTGTGCAGGCGACTTCCTGTCCTGAGCTTTCAGAGGAGGCCAACTGTCCTTTCCTTCCAGGACAGCCAGAGACAAAGAGGCAGGAGAGAGGAAGGTTGGCTCCGCAGAGACTGCCCACTGCAGCCTCGTGGCTGGGACATCCCTGTGGCTCTCATGAGGGGTCACCCCTGGCCTGCCACCGTGCATCAGGCAAACACCGAGGCTGAAGGGTATGGCTGCCTCCAAGGCACTCCTAGGTGCCTCTTCTAAAGAGACCTGCTGCTCGCCCTGGGTCCAGAAAACACTGCTTTTGCAGTGAAAAATGGACATTTACTATGTTAGCTCTGGCCACAAAACGCCAGCCAAATCGGCAGCTGGCCCAAACTGCCCCTGGACACTGAACTTTCTGTGCGGTGCCTGGCACCTGGGCAAGTGCAGCCAAAGTGTCTGTGGCCAGAGGGGAGAAAACATAGTAAAAGAAGTCTCTGTTCCTAGCTGGAGTCTGACAGGTAACCTCAGCCCAGCCTAGGAGATTGGGCCTGGAGGCCAGAGGAAGGAACTGGAGGAAGAGGAGTCACAGAGAGACCCAGTCCTCAGACTGGTTTTGGGTGAGATCTCTATTCATCAGTAGGAGGTAAGATGCTCTTTTGTTGATCCTTTCTGCTTCTCCGTGGAGTTGGGTTCCTATAACCTGTTGCTACATTTTAAAAATGTTCCCCCGAGACAAGAGTAATATGTAGTCATTATAGAAAATTTGGGAAACCGAGAAAACCTTGAGGACAGAATACCCACAACCGTTCAGAAGCCCACTACACAGACGCAAGCTCTGTTAACACTTTGCTGCGTTCCCTTCTAGCATGTTCTCGAGGTGTCTTTTCAAAGCTGAGGTCATCCTGCTAGTGCTCATCGGTGGGATCTAAAATGGCCGCCACCTTTTCAGTCATGCACGCTGAAGAATTTACGCACCCTCCCAATCTGTTAGCCCTAATCTGTTAACCCCATTGCGTAACCACACATTGCCCACTCCCACCAGGAGGGGAGTAAACAACCTTGTAAAGACAGTTTTGTCTATTTTTCAGCTTATTTCCTCAGGAGGGAGTTCCGGAAGAGGAACTGCTACTCTTCAAGCCTGCGGACCCCGTTGCTGATGTTGACCCGCTGGTCCTGCCGCCCATGTGCCGGTGGAGAAGTGCAGTGAACAGGTGCCTTGCACCCTCACTTCCGGGGAGTCATCAGCGCAGGCCCTGCCTGTTCCCACAGTGCTTCTCACCCTGAACCCTTGTAGCCTCAGCCAGGGAGAAAGCAGATGAGCAGTGAGCTGGTTTTCAGGCCTCTGGGGACAGAGGGGGGTTGGGCTTCCCTTCGACCCTCTCCCCACTTTCCTAGATCTTCAATATTTGTTGTGATGTGACAGCCACAAGAGCTGTAACAACTGTGGGCTTTGGGTGCCTCCTTGTTAAGAGGGTGGGGGGTGGGGGGTGGGGGTGGGGATGCATGCAGGGGTATGGAGGCAGCCCAAGAAGCCTGAGGAGGAAACTCCTCCAAAATAAATGTGTTATTGTTATTATTGTGTTATTGTATTATTGTGTTGTGAAGATAACAAATTACTCTGTACGCTAATGCTTTCTCTCCTCAATAAAAATATAAAGGGTGTGTAAAGATGGCATCTGTCTGTGTTATTGGGCGAACATAGGTGGGTGGCCAGTGGGTATGGGGTACCTTATCTAGGCATCACACCTGAATCAGGCCTGCCTGGCAATCCTTGCATGAGGAAACTTAGACCCAGGGAAGCGCAAGGGATCTGCCTACACTCCCACACATGTGTGCATGGCAGGAGTTGTTGGCAGGGAAGTGGACTCACTGGACTTCTAGAAAAACAGCATTTGTTCTAGCGCGCGCGCACACACACAGGACTTTATAAGGAGGGGAAGCTAGGTGGAGTGGGTAGGGAGACCCCTTTCCCTCTTCCACTTTGGGGCACTAGGTGGTGCTATGGGATGCCAGTGAGCTCGCTGGGGAAGGTTTGGAAATAATCTCCAGAGCAGTCCACGCAGGGGCCCTTCCAGCACCATCTCACTGTTCCTCACAGGCTGTGGGATCAGAAGAAACCGAATCTCCTTCCCAGAATGACTGGATAGTATTTTCTTGGAGAAATGGGTGGGAATGCTCCTTAAGCCCCAGTTACTTGCAAGTGCTATGCCAGGCATGTCCCGTCTCCCATCTTATTTTACCCTTATAGCCATGCTAGGGGCGGGCACTATTCTCACCCTCATCTTCAAGGTGAGGCCGAGGCTTAGAGAGTGAAGTCACTGTGGCAACAGGTGACAGCTAACGAGCGGCTCCTTCTTAGCCACACAGTTGCTCATTAGTTTGGGGGACATTTAGCCCCTCTCCGCCCAACTCCCCGGCCGTCCTATCTGATAGGTCAGGCTGGCCTCTTGGCTCTGCCCTGCCCTGCCCGCTCCCCCAGCTTGCAGTGTTCTTTGGAAAAACATCCCTAGCTTCGTGGGAACATTTGCCATGCCCCTTTAAGAGGAAGGAAGAGAGGGAGGGAGGGAATCAGGGCAGGAGGAAGGAAGAAAGGAAGGAAGAAGGGAGGGAGGGAGATCAGTGTGGTTCTGATCGCGTGCCCCAACGTCGTTTCATTTCATTGCCATGCAGCGGAACGGGACTCGGGGGCACCTCACAGGAGTTTTGCATGCTGGGAATAAAGAAACACCAGAAATAAGAAAGGAAAGAGGTATAACTGATACGCACAAATAAAAAAGATGTGGAGAAAAAAGGAAGGAGGGAGAGGAGGGCAGTAGAAAGACAACAAGGATAGTGAGGGTCTCTGAAATGCTCTTCCCAAGGATGAGGAAGACAAAGCAAATCTTGCAGGCTGTGAAACAGGCTCAACTCTTCCCTCACTTGTTGTGTGAGATGAGGACATGGGCACCGGAAAGGTCAGGCAACTGGCTCAAAGTCACTTGCCCCATTGGCCCAGTTGGACCGTGAACCCCAGCGGTCTGGCAGCCAGATTTCATGCACTTAACCTCTACCCTCTGCCTGCGCCCACACAGATGGAATCAGACTCTCCAGAAATTTCCATGTCTACAAAGCTCCCAGGCAATTCTAACACCTAGCCCAGCCTAGTGTAGAATAGAGCGTTGGGGACTAATTAACCCAAGGTGATCTTTACTAGCCGTTTGGCTTCCCATTTCTACACATAGGAAGTGATGGAGACGTGTGTGCGATGATTCCCCTTCCGGTGTGGGCTTGGCCCTCCTGGACACCCGCCTCAGACCACCGCGGACAGCCTCCTGAGAGGGTGCAGAAGCCTGGCTCTCAGCAGCCAGGCCCCTGGAGCAAAAGCCTGTGCCCTTGACCACCAGAACTGGAGCATGGGGGAGGCGATGTGGGTTCCACCAGGGAATAAGCACAGGCATGAAGGAGACAACAGATTACCCGGCCAAACTGGGGGGCCCGCCTCCCTGCTAGCACTTCCTGCATCCAGCCCAGACTAGGGAATGCTCAGCAGGCCCCCGCTCCTGCTCCCGAGGGACTCCATGCAGAAACACAAAGCACAGAGTTCTCGGTTGCCCTGGTAACAGTGGAACCTACTTGGAAGAAAACAGTCTCTGAAAGGCTTGCAAGGGTGGGTATTTCCTTTGACTGAGAGCTGGCTCTGCCCTGCTCCCCGCATCCCCTCCCCTTCCTGCCTGCCACTCACAGGGGTAGCACTGGGGTCCCTCGCCTCCAACTGCAACTCTCACCCAGAGGCCAAAATGGAAGCTGTGGACCCCAGGCAGTGCTGTGTCAAGAGAAAGCCTTGCCTTGTAGGACAAAACAGAACAATCCGAGGAGGGCCGGCGCCCCCAGCAATTCCCGTTTTCCTTCCCACTTACACACAGAGATGAGGCCTGTTGGCCTATAGGACAGGCTGGAGAGTGTCCCAAAGTTCCAGACTTATCCTCTGTCTCATCCTCTCTCCCCCTCCTTCCTGCATTCCTGAAGTAGCTCCCTCCTAGTCTGGCCAGCCTTTAACCTCTACTTAATCAACCCACTTCTCCATGCCTGTGTAGTGGCGTGGGAGTGGTGGACCAGAGTCCTTTGAACTCTCAGGTTTGGTTTGATTTCTTCTTCCTTCAAGGGCTCTCCTTCCCTAGAGGAAGACTTGTGGATCTGACTGGCATCTTCACTATGTGGTCATAAACTACTTATGCCTGTTCATCTGCCCATGCGATACTCCTTCCTTCTCCTCTTCGACCCAAACTCTAGACATCCGAGTGACTTCCTTCTTTTCCTCACATAGCGTGCTCTTTCATTCGTCTGGGCCTTTGCATAGCCAATTCCTTCTGCCTTAAACATTCACAAACATGATGCCCTGGGGAATATAGCTCAGTGGAACAGCCCTTTCCTAGCATGTGTGAGGCCCTGGGTTCAATGTGCAGCACTTCAAAACAAAACAAAAAAATCACAGACATGCTGGGTATGGTGGCATGTGCCTCAGCTACTTGGGAGGCTGAGGCAGGAGAATTGCTTAGACCCTGGAGTTTGAGATCAGCCTGGGCAACATAGGGAGTCCCTGGCTGAAAAGAAAAAAAAGTTCACAAACACTCCTGACCCTACTACCCTACTTCAACCGGCAGTCTTCTTCTCAGCTCAAAGATTACTTTCTCTATGAAATGGCCTCTATTCCTCCCACAAGCACAGCCCTTTGGAGTTCTCCCAGCCCACTGTTCCATGAGGCCCGCAAGGCTGCTGCTCCGTGTGAGAATGTGGACTGTCCCCTTTGCAGATGGAGGCTGCACTGGCAGTCACCTTGATAAAAGACCTGCCTCGGAAGAACTGGCTGAGGGCTGATGGTGCATAAAGTGAAGCTGGAGCTCCTGATAGAGCTGGTGTGGGGACAGCAGGGACAGGCAAGGAAAAGGAGGTAAGAGTTTGGAGACCGTTCTTGCCCTGCCAGCTGAACTCCCTGTGGATGGTCATCGTGTCTTTGGGGGCTGTCACCTCCTCTCGGTGGTGTAATGGGGAGTGACCTCTGCTGGGGTGCGCAGCCACACAGGCCTGCCTTGGAACTCTGGCTCGGCCAGTCCCCCGCTGTGTGCCCTACAGCTGGTCATTTCATTTCTCTAAGCCTTAGTTTCTTTTTTTAAAAAAACTGGAGGTAATAGTAGAATGAATTAATGGGCTTATTAATTAATTAATTAATTAATTATTGCAGTGCTGGGGATAGAACCTGGAAACCTCTTCCAATGAGCCACATCCTCAGCCTTTGAAATTTTATTTTAATGTAAGGTCTCACTAAGTTGCCTGGGCTGGCCTTGGACTGGGGAAGCTTCTGCCTCAGCTTCCAGAGCAGCTGGAATTACAGGCATGTGCCATCATACCTGGCTCAAAATACCTAATACAGTACCTTATTAAGCAAGCGCTGACAATAAATTGGGCACTGTTTTACAGGTGCGAATCATCACAACCCTGTGAGGTAGATACTGTCACTGTCCCTCCTTTGGCAGATTAAGAAACAAGGAAAGGAGTCGAACCCGCCCAGGGTCCCAGCGATAACACACAAGTGCTTTTGGACTTGCAAGTAAAACAGGCAAAGCTCTGTGGCTCAAGAATGCGGTCCCAGAGGCAGGAGAGCTCCAAAATCCAAAGCAAGATCTTGATCATCTTTAGGTCACGGACCCCTCTGGCAGTTTAGTGCAACCTCGGAACCCCTTCTCAGAATGGCGTTTTCACGTGCATAAAATAAAATGTGTAGAATTACAGAAGAAATCAATCATACTGAAATTGTTATAAAAAATATTTTTTATCATTTTGTGGTCCACTTGGAGTATCACTTTTTGTTTTCAGTATTGGGGACTGAACCTGAGATCTTTGCACAGACTTACACTTCCTCCCTTTAAAATTTTTTTTATTTTGGGACAGGTTCTCGATAAGTCACTCAGTCGTCTGCTGGGCTCAAACTTGCGATCTTCCTTTCTCAGCCTTTCAGAGTGCTGGGATTACAGGTGTACATCACGCCCAGCTTTCACTACTTTTTTTTTTTTCTGGTACCAGGAATGAAACTCAGGACCTTGTGCTTGCCAGGCAGGAGCTTGTGCCGCTGAACTACATCCCTGGCCCTTTCACTACTTTAATAATGCATTAAGTCACAAGATTTAGTGGCAAGTCTATTGATCAGAAATACTGAAATGGTGATAAGTGTGATTCTTAGAGATACTTACAATTGCAATGCAACGTGAAAGTATTTATGATTTCTGTTAGTGATCAAGTCACAGATACTGCCAATACCATTATGGCTTAGTGCCTATATTCCTAATTCGAGGAAATGTTAAATTTCTGTTTGTGATTAGCCGAGAAAAGATCAAATAAAGTTCTGATCGAGGTTCATAGACCCCCTAAGTGCTCCCCACATTCTTACTGCAGGCCTGTGGAGCTCAAGTTTAAAAGCCCTGCCCTAGGGTGTCGCAGAATAGACAATGGCCGCCCTGTCAGCTAAGGGGACAAGCTGGCAGAGAGACAAGTGTGTGGTTTCTCTTTCAAGAGCTGTTTACAGAAATCATGAAGTCTGGCAGCTCCCTCTTCCTCTTAGTCTTGAGTCAGCAGCCAGGGCAGGGCTGGGCTGTCACATTTGGTTGGAGTTTCCAGCTCGCCACACACCCATCCAG